AGTCATATCATTATTTATAGGCACAAACAGTATAAATATGGAAGTGAATAACAATCTTACCCACTTCAATCAGATTCATCTAAATTTTAAGTGATTTCCTCATGGGTAAACAAAGCAATTGAATAAGCTGAAACCAGACTTTCATTCCTCTTGACTATAAACAATAATATCAGAGATGTTAACCTAGAAGCTGAACAAGCAAAACTAATTGAACTGTGCAAAGATCTCGATAATTGCAAGTGCATCTTCAAAGCCATTGTCAACTGGTTCCTGAAATTAAGAAAATAAAGCAACCCAGGCCTAAAGCCTAACTCCAAATCCATTTTCACTAAAATCCTACATAGAAATTGAGATTTCTTCAGAACCTTCACCAGGGAGAAAATTATCAAGGGTCAATACCAGAGAGAGTATGAAAACATAGAGAAAAAGTTTCATGAAAATTATATGAAAAACAATAACATCAGATATATTAATTGAGCTACTAAGAGAAAAATCAGAATTATCATTAACAAAGCCCTCGCAGTTACTTACATCAGATTCACAGACACCAAAACAATGAAATTTTGACAGATAGCGCAGATGTTGAATATTTCTTTAACTTCTTTATCAATCCTACCTTGGACAAAATAAACTATCAAGAAATCTACATTCAAAGTGAGGAGTGGATAAAAAAAAACTTGCCCAACCTTCCTCAATTACTAGAAGAAATTCCTAGCTCAATCAAAATTAAATTACAAAGGACAATACTATTAGTATCACCTAGTCACATTGCTGAAGTTGCCAGAAGCCTCAGAGCATTCTACAACTTTTACCTCCTTTCGATAACCTTTTTCATCCAAAGACCAAATCTTCCAGAAGACCCCTCGATACTCAAAGAAGAGCTCAAAAAGCTCTTCCCTCTCACCAAAAGAAATAACCTCAGAAATCTCAGACAGCTTACAAACCAACTCAGAGATGTCTATATATCCCAGCTAAAGATGGGTCCCTAAAGGGGGAGGCAGAGAATAAGTCAAATGTCCCTCACTAGGAAAAATTAAAATTTTTAAATTAATAACTATAAAAAAACTATCCACAATTGTTCTCCATTATCTAAATCATTGATTTATAGTATTTCCTGACTTTTGTCCCTATTAAAGTAAAGAGCTATGAATTTTGTCCCTTAAAAAGGAACATAAGTGATCTGTGAAATTTTATATGCTAAATACTTTAGGGATCTATCATTATCCCAGCAAAGCTCCCAGAAAGCTACTTCCAACTGTCCCCTCTCAAACAAACACTTCCAGTCTCATATGAAGAGTTGCTTCACGATCTGCAACTCTATTTTCCAGTTGACAATGAACCTAAAGTGATAAAAAAAGTAATTGAAATCCTCAAACAGTACAACTATGCAGTAATATGCCTCCCCCTCGACTATATCAGAGTTAAGCTCCCCTTGCCCCCAGCCCACTGGTTCAATGAAAATAATTAATTGGATCAACCAATCACTCACCAAGAGGACGTAGAAGAATTCATTATCAATCTCTCCCATAAATTCAAATTTAAGCTTCCGTTAGGACCGCAGTGGATCGAAGAAGGTCTAGTTCAAGACAAGTGCCTTCCAATGTCCAAAGAGTTTGAGGAGATAGAGACACACCTCAATATCAACAAAGAACAACTTCACAGAGAGTCACCAGACTTCCCAACAACAATCAAAAAAATTAAACAGACATACCAAGGCCAGATTCCACAAGAATAGATTCTTCCGATACTTCCAGAACTGCCCTCCCTACAAGAAACAAACAAATATCTCAGCCAACAAGAAATAAACATTACCCTACCTTTAATAAAAGACCAATATATTAATACTGCAATTCAGCTCCTCCAAGCCCACTTCTTCTTTAACAAACTTCCAATGACCTTCATCACTGAAACTAAGTCACCTGACCCAGATCTGACTTTCTTACCCTGTCTCTTTTAATGAGAACACAAGCAGATTCCTGTTATTCCTTTAATTTGAAACGCTCACCCCACTCTGATACAACCCCTTCTCAATCATCACCCCCACTTGTTCAGGAGCAATTAAAATCAAAAATTAGAAATTTAATAATCATCTCAACTTTAAATGTCCAAGGACTTAATGAAAATGGAAAGCTCCATGCCCTCATAGAATATATAAACAATAAAAGAGCAATCTTATACTGCTCAGAAACCAACAACACAACCTGTAATCTGCTGTCTAAAAAAATCAAAAACAAAACTATTATTTCTAGTCAACCAGCTTTCTCAGCAAGCAATGGTGCCAATATCATTTTCTCCAAACCAATTTCGAACTACATTTATAACACATTTGTCCCCAATGAATTCTGGTATGCAGCTTACCTCAAATTCAAGTCCAAAGTTAATATTATAATAATTTCCTGTTACCTACCACATGAACCAATCGCGAGAAAAAAAGCAGTCATAATGATCAGAGATTTTACTAGGCAACATACAGACAAGCATATAATAATAGTAGGAGACTTCAACTCCTTTCTCAACTCAGCTCCCTCCATGAATACACCCTCTTCGGCTTTCAAGAGACAAGTCTATAGGCACCTACATAAGTTCTTTGATGTTGCAAGAGCAATCAAGAAAGAGTCAGAATATACATACATCATATCCACAAGTGCCTCAAGAATTGATTAGATCTGGATAATTGATGACTTGGCAAGCAAGATAATTAGCTATAAAGTCTTTGATCAAACTGCCATACCTACAGATCACAAACAAATCACTATAGTCCTTGATTGGTTTGAATACAAACCTGACAGCATCTTCTTCTCAACCAGTACCTTCCAGTTCCATCAGGTAACAAAAGAACAAGTCCAATCAATGCAGGAAGACATAGAACTCGCCCTCGCTACAATAGACAATATTTCCTGGTAAGCCCTCAACCTAATTATAAAGCAAGCTATGGAATCCAATATCCAAAATGAAAGTAACAAAATCCCACCCACCCAAATAAAGCTCTTGTTAGGTATACAAATACAATAAAGTCAATCAAAAAATCAATCAACAATCTCAAACACAATTAGAGCCAATTAAGCTACATCCCTTGGTCGATGAAGCTATAAGGAAACTTTCTAACAACCCTCTAACGATTAAGACTCTGAGAAAAGCTCAAAGAGTCCTCCTCAAAGAAAAAACATTCGGAGCTAAACAGATAGTAATGGATGAAATCCAAACTAGCATAGAAAAAAACTACTACAGATTCTGGGCAAAACCAAAGGCATCTCTTAAAAAAGCTCTAGGAGATCTCAAACAATCTTTGGATCTATCAATACTATCCAAAAGAGATCAACTGTGTGATGACTCAAATGAATTAAGCAAAATCATCTCTGACCATTTCAGAAGTATCTTAACACAAAAACCCTTTGAAATGGAGAAGGAGTGGGCAGAATACTACAACTCCATCTCAAGCATCAATAACATAATCTATTCAGACACACTTAGCATTATAACTCCAGAAGAAGTAAAGGATGCTCTTAGTGATCTTCCAAAAAACAAGGCATTAGGCCTCTATCTAATCCCATATGAAGTATGGAAAAACCTGAAGGGAAAAACCCTTAAGTTGATAGTCGAACTACTGTATTTAACAAAGTTCTCAAAACATCACGACCCCCACATCACTGGAAACAGTTAGCAGTAACCCTGCTTCTCAAAAAAATAGTATAGTTATATGAACTAGCTGATACCCATCCAATCTCCCTCATAGAATCAAGTAGTAAAATCTTCACAAAAATTATAAACAAAAGACTTACTCAATCCTTATTCCAACATAATATCTTCTCTGGTTGCAACTTTGCTGGGCTCAAGAACCAAAGTACAATAGAACCAATTACAATTGCACTTTCAAAAGTCAAGCAAGCCAAAAACCTTAACCAAGAGCTTTGGATCACCTCCTTTGACATCTCAAAGGCATTCGATTCAGTCAATCTTGACAGCCTTCATTACGCCCTCAACAGAGTCAAAATACCTACCAAGATCTCACAGCTTATCCTGAATCTCCTAATGAAAAGAGAACTCAAAATCATCACATACTATGATCTGACAAACCCTTTAAAAATCAGTAATGGCATTGACCAGGAAGAGATCCTAGCTCCCCTCCTATAGATGATCTTCTATGATCCAATAGTCACTAGAATCTCAAGCAGTTCTAACCCCTCATCAGCAATACTTGCATACATGGACGATATGGCCTTCATAAGCCAACACATCTATACTCTTCAAAAAATGACAAACATATTCTGCTCCTTTCTTAAACTAAACTCAATTTAAGTGCAACGAAAAAAAAACTGATCTAATTAACAACATCAAGACCAGGAGTCAGCATGCAAATCAAATCTTAATGGTCGAAGGGGAGTTCATTAACCCCAAACCTTATAAAAAAACAATCAAATATCTAGGAATCTATCTCTCTGGATACTCATTAGCAAAGGCAACCAAAAACAAACTCAAAGAGAAAATAGACAAATTCACAAAAGCAATTGCTAGTCAGAAGGGATGGAATGGCACTATCACTAAACAAGCATCTCATTGAATTATTCTTGCACAACTAGATTATGCAACACAAGTCTCAGTTTTAAGTGATAACGAATGCTCCCAACTCCAATCAAAAATGGCTAGAGCCATTAAGCAAAAACTAGGAGTCGAATGGATCCTCTCCAACAAAGTTCTCCACTCTCATGCAGGCTTGGGCATCATAAACCTATGAGACAGAAGAGACCTTGTAGCAGTCAAACTTCTTATTGCCAAACTGTCCAACAAAAAGACTATTCCAGATGTCAAACTGGAAATTTACTCTATCCAATCTGCACATGCAATTTGGTGCTGTTCAATATGCAACCCACAATACTTTGAGGACTCATGAATAGTCTTAGCTACATTGATTGCTAAGAGATACAATATTAATATACAATATGTCTACACTCTTGCCCTTTTAACCTTAAGAACTATGAAACTCCATCAGTCTCATTACAAAAATGCCTAAATCTATAGCCTTGACAATCTCTAAATTACAAATTTGTACCATTCAAAATCTCCTGGTCTTTAATCAACCACTTAAATTAACATGGGACAAGCTTCACACATATAGAGGAATGGTAGTCTGTGATAGAATTCCACCATGGTTCAGTAGAATTCAAATTAGTGACAGCTCAATAATTGGAGACACCTTACCCAAACCACACCCTAGACCAATATTCTGGATATAACTATCGAACAACAATTTAAACTTCATAAGAGTCAGGAAAAATGCTATCCATACAGATCCAGTTAGAGGCCTTCACTATCTTATCGATGCCAACTCAAAACAATTAATCCCTTGCCACTGTAACAGAACTCCCTGCACAATAACAAAAAACATCTCTGAATTAAACTCCTCCTGGACTACCAAAAAGCTGGGACATTATCACCTTCTTAATAACATTTTAGAGCTAAAAGAGTTATTAGCAATATATCCAACCAACTTACAACCAGGTATTCTGATTCATCCCAAAATACAAAGGGTATCCTTGGACATACTGTAAGTATCTCATAAGTCAGAAATCAATTAGTCATCCAGGAATCATTTACGACCTATTTATATGATCTCAAACTCAATTTTTGAGCAAGCTTTTGACCCATCACAGAGAAAACAATAAAGAATAGTTTTCCTAATTCCTCAGTATCCATCTCACTGTACCACCTCCCTGCCCTAACGATTCCTGAGTACTTCAATAGACAAGTCAAAACACCATTCAGCAAATACATTAAAAATATAAGTCAGCTCTTCCAGGAAAACAACATCTCTATTTAATGAACCAAAGAAAAGAAAAACAAGAATGTCACCAGCTCCTTAATATCTAATGCTAATACTGTACAACCCCCTACCTACTCTTCTTCAATACACGGACCCTCACCTCTAATCAATCAATTCCATGCCACCAGCGCAGTATACTGAATCAAATTCATAACCTACTACTTCAATCTTTTCAACCTTCTCTTAAGCCAGTCATCTACATATAAATCTCAAACTCTTGAACAAATAGAAACTATTATCAAGTCAAACAAAAAAATCAACAATAGGGATCAAGTCAGATATAGAGCCCTAGCAACCTTCAGAATCAAACTCATTGCCAACCAGCTTTCAATCAGAACAAAACTTCACAAAAAATATTCAGAGCTGTATGACAGTGATCTCTATCCTTGGTATGATGCATATCCAGAAACTCTAGAACATGTCTTCTCTTGCTATCATGCACGTATTTACATAAACAGTAAAAATGGCAAACTTACCAGCCTAATTTCACAATATCTAGATAAGACTTCTCCACCAGGAAGTCAAGCCCCCTATATTGACCTCTTCAGCTCTAATATATTCAATCTCTCTTTAGGCATCTTCCAGCCTCCTCTTGATATTATAAAAGATAAGTCAGACATCTCAAATAAAGCATTAAAAGTCTTATACAAGATCTGGAAACAAAGGTCTGACACCACCTTAACCTCAACATCCTCAGGGGTTAAGTGGAAAAAAACAAAAGCAACAACAGATCCAGCAATGACAAAAGGCATCAACAACAATATAGTCTTTGTCAAAATCTTAAATACCTTAGAAAATAATAATAACTATACTGACAAAATAATCTTCACACCAACAGTTATCTCATCATTCTGAGTGGGCATTATCAATTCAGCACCAGTGTTATGGACACACCTTCTAGGTGTAAGTTGGTATAACTGGTTTAGTCGCAATAGGATACTATTAATTTGTATTTATATTTATATAAATCAAAGATTGTTAATGTAATGGCACCAAACTATTGTTTAATAAAAAGCCTTACATTTAAATGCCCATTTGCAAAAGAAAAAAAAAAAAAAGGTAAAATATTATAAGTACTTTTTTTCTCTAGAATTGAGAATATATTTTTTTAAATATTGCATAATAATATTGTAATTAACAAAAATTTATATTATTTATAAAACCCTTCTTATATTACAAATAAAAATATTATTAGAAAATTTGATTTTTTGAATAATAGAAAATATTTATCAATAAAATTTTTTTAATTAATATAGTTGTTAAAAATATTAAAAGTTATATAATATAACTATAAAATTATATAAGAATATAAGATCTATTATAAATTATTTAATTATACAAGTAAATAAAAAATAATTATTAAAAAAAAGAACATTAGTTTTTTTTTTTTTAATCCACAATCATGTCACAATGGCATGTCTTTATTGAAAAATTGAAATGAATTTACAATATTTTACAGACTTTCACAAAATGACTAATTCATCTTCATATAAAAGTACTCTAAGTCAGATTTTGGGGACAATATCTCACTCCCCTAATAGATTGATAATAACCTTTATCTACCAGGATTATTGTTAACAGTTTGTCACTATTAATTGTCCGAAAACCAATGAATTGCTAAATTAAAAAAGAAAAAGGGAAAAACTGATTGGGGAAAAGAAACAATTTAAGGCTCACCAAAAAAATCTAAAAATAAAAACAACCTTTTCTCAAAAGAGGTCTATCTGATTGGAATAGTCTTCTTGCTTTACTTGAACCTTGCAAGAAATCTTCCTTTTCACCATCTGCAGTATTGAACAAATCAATCCAACTAGTCTTTTATTTAAGTGAGCATCAAATTGGAATATCTCAAGAAAAATATTTAGACCTCAACTTTTTTCTATTAAAGCTTTGTCACTACTTGAGGAACTTAAATAAGAGATGAAAGTTTGCAATCCACATTATCCATTACTTGATCTTTTAGTGTTATGAAAGTTTTTATTGAGGGATTTGAGCTTTTTAAGGGAAAATGTTTCCAGAACCTTCTTTCTAATCAACAATGACATCATCGGAACACATGAATATGACCAATAGGAGCTTGTTTACATTTCAAAAACTAATATGTTTTATGTCAGCCAATCACCTTTGATGAGTATTTGTATTATCAAAAATTTAGGATTAAACTGAGGTAGGCAAAATTCCTCAGAAAACCATGAAAACAATAGCTCTAAGAGGTTCACAAGTAACTGAAAGGGGAAAAATAAGCCCTTTTGTCATCAAAAATCTCTATATACTGTAATAGGCTAATTGGCAAATTTGTCACTAATGACCAAAGGCTTGCATAACCTATGGATAGAAGAGTCTATTCTTTTATCACACAAAAAACAATAAAAAAAATCAAGGCAGAGGTATAAAAAGATTTGGACAAGTCTCAAAGTAGTTTTTTCTAAAACTACTTATAATTTCACTGTTATAACAATTTATTCAAAAGATTCGTTTTAAGATTTGTTATTTTATTAAGTCATTGAAGAAAGTTATATTTATACATTTTTATACATAGGACTATTACATAATAATTATGGCTATTCTAGTATTATGTTATGCATAATTGCTTCGTGGTTAGCTAATTTTTTATTACCTCAGCTTATAGTTTTTTACTCTTTTAATGTAAATAGATTATTCGCGTATTCTTCTATTTTGTATAAAGTATGATAATAGTTGGCAATTGATTGTTTCACATAAGCTTCAGTTATGTCATGATCATCAGTCATATGATCATGATGAAAATTCTGAACTTGGTCTAACTTTTTTAACCTTTAACAATATCTCTCACTTCAAAGGTTAAATAGGTATTCAGATACTTTATAGTCGGTTCTTCTTCCTTTGAGAACTTTCTTGCCATTGGTATCAAAGATATTACTTGACTTTTCTTGATCACTTAAAGTCAAGTTTTTGAATAAAAAGGTTTGTAAACAAAAGGAAAAGAGTAGAAGTGACTCTTGAAGTCATATTTCTAGTTGTTTTAATGAAAGTATTAAGACTTTATTAGCAAAAAAGTATAGAAACTCTTGTAAACATCTTTTTTGTATATGGTCAGAGAATCAATAGAAAGAGTTTTTATTAAAATTTAAAAAAAAAAACATTAAATAAAATATTAAATCTAAATAGATAATAAATACTTTAGACAATTATAAGAAAATAATCAAGATTACAAATAGATTATTTTTTTAGTTAGTTGAAAAGAAGAAAACTATTCCAGAAGTATTGATTTTTATTGAAAAAATATTTCTAGTACAGGTTCTTTAAAGAATATAGAACTTTTTTATTTTTCTTTATATATATATATATTTGTATCAAAAAACTCTTTTTTACAAACTAAAAAAATTTCCTTTTTTGATAATTTTGTGAAAAAAGAAAGAAAGTAAACAAAAGATATTAGTTCTTATTAAGAATCTAGAAAACAATATACTTTAAAATGATCCAATAACATTGAAAACCTTTGACAAAAAGTAACACAAAAAATATATGCATAGAAACAAATATAGATAACATAAAAAAAAATACTAAAAATAAAGGAAAAGCAGTCATAAGGAAAGAAAATGAATCTATAAGACAGTTAATAACCTACAATAAAGTACAACAAAGTACTTTCCAAGATTCAAATAACACTAAGTAAGTAAAAACTATAGTTGACAATACTTATTGGAGTAAGCAAATAGAAAAGGAACTTTCAACTAATCCACCTAAAACAACAATTTTATTATACAAAAAAAAATACAGAAAACAATTCCAATGACTAACATATAGCTCTCAACTATTAAGAATATCTTGAAAAGACAAATATAGAAATGGAAATTGAAGACAAGTCAGAAGGAAACTTATCCAAAAACATCTTTATGTAGGAAGAGAAATGACAAACTACATCAAAATACAGAACCAAAACCAATTAGTATGGTAGTCTTTACCCTAAATATCTACTTAATAGGAAAGTCAAATTTTGTAGAGAAAAAGTCAAAATAAGAATCAAAGCAAGTGAAATTCCTGATAGAACCATCAGCCAAAAGATTTTCTTTTTGACAAGAAACTTAGACTCCTTGATAAATCTAATGTCAGTCTTAAGCAAAGGTAAATAAGAGAATGTGTATATCATTTCTATTTTTAGTAACAAACAAGCTGCAAACAAGGCATGCAACCTTATTTTATCATATACAAATAACATATATCTAAAATACATGGAAATCATAACTTTTTTTCAAAAAAGGAAAAACAGTATTATCGTATAGGATATTCTCTTGAACATTAAGTTCATTGAAATATAACAGACCTTTGTCAAATATGATGAGATCACCAATATTATAATGACAACCCAACAAATATAACAAACTGTTATAATCACTTATGAAAATCAAAAAAGCAAATAGTCAATCATTAACAAATAGAATATATCATTAAGATTAGACTTAGTCAAGGTCTTTGATATACTATAGATAAAGACGGGT